CATCAGTTACAACACCCATAAAAAAACATCAAATCAATATTTAACATCTTATCTGCTTCCTTGTAATTTGTTTGTTGTTTTGCACAAAGCTACACTCAATGGGCTGTCTGTGCCGTGCTTACCACATGTATTAAAACCCAATTTTTAGCATTATACTACTTCAGAGTTACTGCTAAGCCACTTTGGGGTCCTTTATTGTGTAACAAATCTTTTAATATGTATGTTTCTTAAAAAAATAAATTGATATGCAGTAACACATACATCTGATAATTCAATATACTTCATAACCCCATTACTGTAAACATTCCAAGAGAAAAATGTAAATGATTTCTTCTTGACTTGATGGAAGTAAGTCTGGTAAACATCTGAATTTTTACCAATCACAAGAAAACAAACAACATATTTTTTAACTCCTGTTTGTATAACTTAAGATATTGTATTGGAACAGTTTTAAACTTTTTAATATATAAATGCCTATTTATCATACAAAATGATATTTTATAACAACAAGAGGAATTATTAATCAAAAAGTGGAATTCACACATGCAAAAAAAATTCAATTTCTCTTTGCGTATAACAACTATATATTTGGTTCTTAGGAAAATTTCCAACCGATAAACAGTGAAATGCCACTACAAGAATACTTATGGCTGAAAGTTATGTCACAGCACTTTAAAGGAGAGATATTCAGTTTACATGATTTTTAAATGACGTACAGCCAAAGGGCACAACATTCTGAAAAAAGAAGTCTTTATATACTTTTCATGGAAGAGAAAAACCTGTACAGCATTTATGACAGCAACAGACCAGGAAACCGCAACCAAGGCCGATCTGAAGCAAAATTCCAATCTACAAAATGAAAAATAGACAACAGACAAGTATTTGAAGTTGGAAAGTCTTACAAGCTAAAGTTCATAATATCACAACTACATCTTGAAATCAATGGCTGTTTCCATGAGAAAGATAGCCAAAGAAAGTGGAAATGCAACAATCCCATTTGACCATTCACCTATATGTCAATGACCCTGATGCTACACCAACAGAATTATTATTCCTCTGATCTACTTATATATGGTTTTAGGCTGGCATGGCCAGGTGGTTAGGGCACTCGACTCGCAATCTGAGGGTCACGGGTTTGAATCCCCGTCATACCGAAACATGCTCACCTGGTGTCCGAACTAGGACGTTAGTCCTATTCTCGGATACTCACCTCCACCAGAATTTGGAGGTGTGAGAAACACCATATGAAACTACTAATATGGTTTTAGAAGCTGGCATTCACATACAGTGGAAGATCTGTGGAAAGCTTGTAAAATGGTGTGGTCTAACACCGACTTCATCTTCTTTTGCCAAAGCTAGTTATAATGAATATTTCAGTTTTGGGCAATAGTGAATAACCATAGGTATCAGAATGAACACAACTGATGAACTATGAAGTAGTTCCAAGAGTTGTAAGGGGCCCAGAATATCTTTCTTACAATGTGAAATTAACCTCAATACATATCAATGTTCATCAGTAAAGTAATATGCAACATAAGGAAAACTCCCACCACTGAATAAATTCGTCAGTACCTGACAAACATTTAATATTTTCCCATTTTGTACACACATACTTAGTAAAAATCTTTTTCAAAGTTATAGACATTTGTGTGAAAAGTTGCAACCTTAGGTTCACCAAACTTTAAGTCTAGCTTATAACAGCCGCAAGCTTTAAACAATGTATTTACTTAATATAGAACAACTTTTCTGAAAATTTCACACAAATACTGCAGATGTATTAAACAGTTCTGCAAATGGTTTGTGTTCTGTAAGCAACAATTTAACAAGATTTAAAAGAATTTGCTCTTTTATGTCTAGTGTTTAGTAAAATCATCAAAAACTTACGTATACAGATTTCACCACATGATAACAGTAGCCTTTAAGTAAGTTTAGTTAATACACATGTATTACTATGAGACTGAAAACTATTGATATATATTTTAATCTGAACTTGTGTTTGTCTACTTTAAACATGATTTAACTAAATACCAAGAAAATTACAAGGAATATATTAAGAGACAGCAATCCAAAAACAAAATCATGAGCTAAGCCTAAGTCACCAAATCATTCAAACTGATATTGTTTATAGTGTTCGGAAAACCTATTACAGAGAACAAAAAAGAAAAATCAGATTACTTATATATGCAAGTAATGCAACATATAGGTATATTTATATCCACACACACACATATCATGAAAATCCAAGTTACAAAATTCACTCATACAAAGTGTATATTGTGATGCTGACAAATGTGATGTATCTTTACAATTACACGTCCCTGAAGAGTGACCTTGGTGATATTAAATTACGACGTGAAAAAAGTCAGTTGATGCTAACCTCTTCAACTTCTTATCAATAAATGGTCTTTCCACTCAGCGACAGCTTTCAATTTTTCTTTATCTAGCAATTTATTTCAGATATGCGTTACATTTTTTCCAAACAACCAACTTAAGTTGACAGTTTATTTTTAGCAAAAAAAAAAAAGTATAATTTGCCATGCATTTTCTCATTCTTTAAAATAAAAACATACTAAATTCAACAAAATTTGTTTACATATCTTAACTTATTACGTTTCAAAGACAAATATTTAATCATGTATGCAAGGAAATACTGTTTACGATCATCTAAACTCAAACGTATCTCAGAGAACATACTTTCTTTGTGTCCTTTAAGTTAATTTAGAGCTTTATATGAATCATACAGGATACAGTAACATGCAAAATATAGAAGATAAATATTTTTTTATAGAACAATAATACTTCAAGCATTCAATATTATCTAAAATTATATTCTTAAAACTTAGAAAAATAATTTTTATGCGAAAAAACAACAACAAAAAACAACTATTCACTAGATATTTTGATATGAAACTATGATAACTGTAAGTTTTTGTACATTCTACATATCATCTTATGTCTCTTCAGGTCAAAAGACCTTTTGAATGCCCTTTGGCAGCCACAACAAGCATGTGTTTTCACAGGTTTATGCATGTAATGATGATGGTTCCTTAGAGACTCTCTACTTCGATAACTTCTGCCACACAAACTACACTGGAAATCTGTTGCATCAGCTAGGTATACAAGATTGGATATGTTCATCCACTCCTCACTAGATCTATCTTGTTGGCCAAAATAACCTATGGAGTAAATTCATACAATTGTACAGTCAAAATGTGTTAAAATGAAGAAGATTACAAAAATGGTGTCCTTGTCATGCTTGGATGCAATTTTCAATTTGTGTGCAGATTCACAGCTATATGATAGAAAGCTATGTTAATTCTACCAAAGATATGAAATTTGGTTAAATAATATCCATTTGG